CCGTCAGGTACACACACATATGCAGCAGTCATGTACACACACACACACACACACACACACACACACACCGCCATGCACACACAATCAACAGATTTCATGCACACACAACTCCGGCAATCATGTAAACACAAAACTCTGCCGGACCGCCGACACAACAACATGTTTCCCTGTTTGGTAGCTTGTAAACACTGCCATCCTTGTCACAGCCGCCAGAGTAAACAAACCCTGTTGAATTTTAACTCAGAATTTGCCTTTGAGTGCCTTGATGGGTGTAAGTGCATGTGCTGAGCGCGTTTGAATAGTGTTTCTGAGTGTTGACCAAGTTCCGGGGTACAGCGGTGGGAGATACAGAAGGGAACTTTGTATTATTCGTCGATATTCAGATTTTATGAATTTGGTTTCGTGTGTGTGTGTGTGTGTGTGTGTGTGTGTGTGTGTGTGTGTGTGTGTGTGTGTGTCAGGCGTTATTCAAGGGGCAGGGGGGGGATGCACTTAAGGCTGGACTATCCCTCGTGGTGAGAGTGTGTGGCGTAACTCAGTTTTATGGGAGCTTGTGGCCTGGGTTCTAACTGTACGTATACTGTATATAAAACTGGCCATGTAATATGCTAGGTGAACTCCTTATATGTAAATACTGTATACCTGTATAGCCTTACTTATGACCTGAGTGCTTTTGACTTCTAAATCCACGGAAACACATGCACTCACGGGCGCATACACTTGCACACCTAAAAGATGCACTTAGGAGACACACGCTTAAGGAACTAGTTATGATATGCTCTTAGGAAGAAATGGTTATAGCGAGACACTTATGTTTAGGTAGATATATGTTAAGGTAGACTTATGTATGAAGGTGAGGAGAGACATTCTTAAGAGGTGGTGAAATGGTTCAAGAAAAGAGGTGCAATTTAAAGTATCACCTGTAAAACCACCGAAGACACTGACAGGTAGCTAGGGAGACACGGTCATATTTCTATTAAAAAAAAGAGAAAAAGGTCAGGGTTTTTTTTTACTCTCTCTCTCTCTCTCTCTCTCTCTCTCTCTCTCTCTCTCTCTCTCTCTCTCTCTCTCTCACACCAGCCGAGAACATGCGGCGGTTGTTATAATGGCTGAACAACCTCGCAAAGTCAAAATCGTCAGAATGAATTCCAAGTTTGACACAAATATTCCCGCTGCCGGATGGGTGGTGGCGTTCAGAGGCTTTTACAGTAATGGACCTACACGCTGAACCTCTGATACATGGAGCCTTTAAGTCTTAGTTTATTTAGGCCGATTCTAATTTATAAGAGAAGGAAGATTCTAATAATGTTGGTGGAGCTGTTTGGTTTGGTGTGTGTGTGTGTGTGTGTGTGTGTGTGTGTGTGTGTGTGTGTGTGTGTGTGTGTGTGTGTGTGTAAAGAATATGGACTTGTGTTATTTTTTGTATTTGTAGTAGAATAGAGGTAAGTTTTGTTATGGGTTTGTGGGAGTATTTTGTCTTATATGTATATCTACTGTACTCAGTGTCCAGATGTTTGTTTGTCTTGGTGTGTTATTGTCGTGTTTGTTGTTGTTTTCGTTGTTGTTTTCGTTGTTTTTATCTTTGTTCTCCTCACTGTTGTCGTCATCATTGTTTTGGATTCTTTTCATTGACGTCATCGTTGTTGTCTCCGTCATCGTTGTCTTCCTTGTCGTCGCCATCATAATCATCATCATCAGCGAACGAGGTACTTACAGTAGATAGGAACTGAGGGAATGAGTAACCTTGACCCTTTGACATACAGTAGATGTCGAGGTCAGGGATAATTTTGGCAACAGGCACAAAGTTGGTGTCAGCACGGTACAGCTCACATTGTTTTATCTCACGAAAAGTTGGGTGTGGGGTGAAAAGGCCTCAAGGTTTGAAGTTGGTGGGAATAGTGCCAAAGTGAATTGAATGTTGCAATTTTTTTTTTTAGGCTTTCATTTTTTTTTTACTGTTTTTTCACTTATACTTTTTTCCTGCATCCATTATATAGATTTTCATTTTTATTTGTTTAATGTTGACACCTAGATCTGGTGCTTAAAGACCTCCTGTTCCTTTAAGGCCTCTAAGCCTTTAAGACCATAATCCTTTAAGACCCCCTAGCCCTTTAAAACCCCTTGTCCTTTAAGTCCCGAAACGGTTTAAGATTTCTTAAAGTCGCCTAGACCTTTAAGACCTTTAGTTCTTAAAGACCCCTAGCCATTATAAAATTCCCTACCCTACCTCACCCCTTTAAAACCCATAGCCCTTTAAAAGATCTATCCCTTTAAGACTTCTATCCCTTAGATACCTATATATATATATTACAAACTCGTTACTATAAAACGCTCGCCAAATAACACTCGCCAAATTATATTCGCTAAACAGTAGTAAATTATATGATCTATACCCAGAATTTATGAATAATTATTGTATGTTAGTCTGTCACATAAATTCTAGAGGAATTGAAATGAAAGTAATTTAGAGATTATATTTTGTCATGTCGCTTGTAATGATATTAATAAATGTTTTTCATTAAATTACTCAATACACTAATAACTTTCAGTGTTTTATTTGACTTAATAACACACACACACACACACACACACACACACACACACACACACACACACATTAATGTACTTTACCGCGTATATTAGTATTGAAGTGCTTCCCATCGACAGTTCTAATGTAACCCTTCAGATTGGTTTTCCGAAGAGGAATAAGGTGTGTCGAGCTCGGATCATAGATGGGGTTAGGTTAGGTTAGGTTCGGTCGTAACCTAACTGAGGGCTTCAGAACGACTGTAGCCGACCCAAGTAATTTTAACACAACTGTTACTTCTCAAAGATTATTACGTAAAGTTTTCCTAACCCGAGGATGTTAGAACGCAGCTAATTGATTCACTGAAGCTACGGCTCAGTCATGGTATTGATTGTACCAAAGAAATTGCACTTTAGCTCTTTCTTGAATAGATGCCTTCTCGTAGCCCCGTCAGGAGAAAATAACATTTACCACACGATTGATGAGGACAAGTCCACTGTACTGCCATGAGGACAAGTCAACTGTCCGACCATCACAACACGTCAAGTTCTTTTTAGGATCACCTGAAAAATAAGTGCTGTAAATACTGCCGGTCGTGTGTTCTCTACCCATAAAATCCGGATTCATATTACAGAGTGAATCCTTTACTAAAAACGAATCCGTGGTGTCTGTAGTTAGAATCAGGTACTATCGTGGTTAAATAGAGAGGAAAAAAAGTGGGGGGAGCCTAATAATGTGAGAGAGAGAGAGAGATAGATAGATAGATAGATAGATAGAGAGAGAGAGAGAGAGAGAGAGAGAGAGAGAGAGATAAAGCTGGATCTCTTGTTTCCCTGTCAGAACCTACTTCAAATTATATCTCGTTGTTTTAAACCTGACGATCACTGGTTGACTGTGTAAAAATGCTTGGACCTTGGGAACAACCCCTCGTTTCAATGTTGAGAGAGAGAGAGAGAGAGAGAGAGAGAGAGAGAGAGTCTGTTAGCCTACGTCGACGCCCTGTAACAGTGAAGGCCTTTGTTTACATGCTCGTGTAAACAGCCTCTCAGACATAAAGCAGAGGAGTGATTGAACATTTGTCTCCCAGTTAGCGAGGGCACACAACCTCTTGGCACGCACCTGCCTGCCTCCTTGATTAATAGTCGTTAGGGATCATGTGAAGATTAGGCAGCCCAGCTTATTTCACCTGATGATTAAACACCCTAATGCTATATTGTTAGGTTAGGTTAGTCTTTATCCATCAGGTGACATAATTCGTTTACCTAATCTTCATGTGACCCGTTGTTACTTCAGATGACGGTAGAGTATAGGCCTACCCACGCAGTCCCCTTGTGTGGTCGGGGTTAGTGTTAAGTGTGTTGTATCCGCAGCGCCTCTGATGGGTTGTCAGACAGGCCCTTGGGTGCGTTCAGTGACCTTTAACCCAGAGGCAGAGTTTAATAACCACAAATATATTAATAGTGAAACAACATTGAGGTCTCAATCTGGGTGAGAACTCTCTCTCTCTCTCTCTTTTAGGAGACCAAAAGACAAACAACCATTAACAAAGTTCTTAATGGAAGCTGTGGAAAATTTCCCTACGTGACGTCATTTCAGGAATTCGATTATAACGTGACTGCCCGGCGATAAATTTCCCCGGAAATGAATCATGTTTGACTCATCAAGGCGCGAGGTGTGGCGGGGAGGGGGGAGAGAGGGGTCGGGTAGAAGCTGGGGAGTTGGGGAGCGAGGGGAAGGTGACTGGGGAGCGAGTGGGGAGGGGAGTGTAATTGTATGAATGGGGAGGGGGGACTGGGGAGCAAGTGGGGAGGGACTGGGAAGCGAGTGGGGAGAGAGTGCAGGGGAGAGAGAGAGGGCGGGCGATAGTGATGTTCCAATATAGTTTTTTCTTTCAAAGGACGTCGTGAAAGTTCATTAAACATGGTTGAAAGCTTCTCATTGTTTCATTTAAATTAAGCTTTCACGTGTCCATCCACCTCAGGTGCTGCTGTGAAAATACTCTCTCTCTCTCTCTCTCTTCACTTTATTACGTCGGGGGAAATCATCAAAACAAGAAATATGATCAACAGTATATCTCTGTTGGTAGACCCTGTGTGTGTGTGTGTGTGTGTGTGTGTGTGTGTGTGTGTGTGTGTGTGTGTGTGTGTGTGTGTGTGTGTGTGTGTGTGTTTTATGCCGCTCTAAGGGGTTGCCATCAAAGTGCAGATGGCCTGTAAGTGAGAAGTAATGAATAGATAAGTGCCCTACAAGTAGAACACGGTGAACTAGGAGTAGAACACGGTGAACTAGGAGTAGAACACGGTGAACTAGGAGTAGAACACGGTGAACTAGGAGTAGAACACGGTGAACTAGGAGTAGAACACGGATCAGAGTAGGAAACACTAGAGTAGAACATGGTAAAATTAGGAGAATGTTGTGTACTAGAGTAGAACACGGTACTTAGAGTAGAATGTGAACTAGAGTAGAACACGTACTAGGAGTAGTTTACTAGAGGTAAACATGTACTAGGAGTAGAACACGGTGAACTAGGAGTAGAACACGGTGAACTAGGAGTAGAACACGGTGCACTAGGAGTAGAACACGGTGAACTAGGAGTAGAACACGGTGCACTAGGAGTAGAACACGGTGCACTAGGAGTAGAACACGGTGAACTAGGAGTAGAACACGGTGAACTAGGAGTAGAACACGGTGCACTAGGAGTAGAACACGGTGAACTAGGAGTAGAACACGGTGAACTAGGAGTAGAACACGGTGCACTAGGAGTATAACACGGTGAACTAGGAGTAGAACACGGTGAACTAGGAGTAGAACACGGTGAACTAGGAGTAGAACACGGTGTAAAAAAGACAAGGTAGCGAGTCATTGGTTGGGATCATCACAGGGCTTAAGGGATTAACTCCTAGTCGATCACGGATTCCCAACAGCTGTATCCCGTCCAAATTACATGTGACGTTACAGCATTCTAGCTTTTTCTCGGTCGTAAATGGGACGAATTTTGTCCTCGTTGTACGCTTTGGTTGGGAGGAGAGATTACTTACTTGTTTTATTACCCACACATGATGCTTAAGGGAAGTAGATGGGGGTAAGATGTACGCTAGTGGTTTAGTATGACTCTTCCCCTCAGTACACTAATGCTAGAGGGTAATGCCACGCGAGGGTTTGCATTCTTAGTGTGTGTATGTGTGTGTTAACGTACCGTATCTTATTAAGGTAGGGTTTCGGTGTAAATATAGTGTCATTACCGATAATATTGTTTGGGTTATAACTTTAGTCAGCCATTTAAATGCGTTCTTAAACCTATAAGTTACGAGTAAAATCTTAACCTAAGTTTTTTTTTTTAAGACTCCTTCCCTGGCCGGCAGTTTACGTGCTCTTACTGAGTGAGTAATGCAGAGGTGATGAGGCGAAATATAGCTTTATAATAATTGTCTGTCATTTAATCACTCCTTGCATGTGACCACTCCTTGTTTCCCTGTCTGTTTATTCAATTGTCCATCCTCTAAGTTTCCATCTGTCTAAATTCGTTGTAGTATTTGGGTTTGTACTCCTGTGCGTTAGTGTGTTTATGTATGTCTTTTACACACACACACACACACACACACACACACACACTTTTTATAATATCCTTATCTTCATAAACTTTTTTTTTGGGGGCGAGGAAGGGACCGAGGTTGAGAATGACGTGGCGGCGAGGCCATTATTCGCCTTATAGTCCAAGTTAATTCATCTTCCTTGGACAAATCTTTGTTAAGTGGGTCTTAAAATCTCGGGTCTTGATGGGACAGTGAGCATTTACCTCTCTGGTGATGAGTCTTTGGAGAACTTAAGTTTAATATTAAGTGTTTATGATAATTACCTTCCTTCCTCTTTCCTCCTATTTTCCTATTCTCCTGCCCCTTCCCCTGCACCCTCCCCTTTCCCTTCCCCCCTCCACCCTCCCCTTTCCCTTCCCCCCTTCACCACCTAGTATCTTCCTCCCCTTTCTCAACCCATCCAGATAAGGAGTGTGAGGTACTTTTGAATCATTTGGTCTGTTGTAGGTTAGGTTAAGTTAGTGTTTGACGAAGTACAAGTGGCCTGATGAGCTTAATAGGACTTTAATAAACACAAGGAAGAGCCCCAAGTCGTTACCATATTTGCTATTGTGTGACCAAAATGTTACAAGTCTTATGTTGTTATTATCACTAACACGTTATTATGGCCTCACGTAACAATAGTCTTGCTGTGTGTGTTTTCCTGTACCGTTGTGTGCGTTCAGGACGATATTAATTTAACAAGTGTGACTATCGCTAGAAGAGAGAGAGAGAGAGAGAGAGAGAGAGAGAGAGAGAGAGAGAGAGATATTGCAGTGTGTCATTATGTTTGTTTCCTTGTTCTTCGTGTGTCGTTATTCCCGGTGTGTTCTTGTTCTCTTATGTGTTCTCCAGGACGTCACGAGTCATAATATTGCTGGTTTTTTTGTGATGATTCCACCAAGAAAGCGACTGTGCTGTTTTTCCTTGTGCATCTTTCAGCCGCTTTTGGCCGCCTGACTGGCCAAGTGGAGCACTGTGACACTTCCTTCCTCTTATACTGTACAGCGAGTGTAGGACGCAGGCGAGCATAGAGGAGGAGCCAGATATCAGACTCTTGAAGGACACGGCGCCCGGGATAGATAAAGGCTCGGCTATGTGTCGTATTGTAGCTTCTTGACCGAGTTACCGCACGTGAAGACGATCACTGTCATTGGTTATGGTGGTATTATTTTATTTTATTAATACAGAAATGAAAGTACAGTACAGAGACACTTGCTTGGGATAAGTATACGTTAATCTGTCCTGGTTTCTGCTACATAAAGAAAAGAAAAAAGTATTCTATTCACGTGGAAGATGTGACGGTAACAGTAAATTATCGGAACAATCTGAAGAGCTCATTAGATTTCGAGATAAAATAGTAAGAAATATATGTTAATAGTGTGTTGTGTGTATACAGATGTTGTTAATAATGTTGTGTGTATAGATGACGTTTATAGGGTGTTATGTGTGTATAGTAGGTTAGGTTAGGTTAGGTGTGTGTGTGTGTGTGTGTGTGTGTGTGTGTGTTGAGTTTCTATACAACTTCATTTGTGTCTCCGAGTTCCCCCGCCTTACTTTTATCTCTGGTTTATCCTTTCCCTTTCAACTTCTCTTCACTTCAAACTCTCGCCTCCTTTCTTCTTCTAACCCTCACCCCTTACTCCTAAAGCCCTCTCCCCACCTCCTCTCTACCTGTCACCTCTCCTCATTCAATTTACCTTTCATCCTACCTCGTTCTACATTCTTCACCTATTCCTCCTCCTCTCTCCTTTCTCTCCCTCCACGCCCTTCTCTCCTCCCTCGTGATCTCACCCCCATCACGCCTCACCCCCAACACACCTGCCTCCCCCGTACTCCCCCATGCTCTCCTCCCTACATTCCCCCCCCCCCACGTATCCCCCTCCCACATGTCCCCCACGTACTCCTCACATGCCTCCCCCTCCCCACACATGCCCCCACTCCCCTTATTCCCTTCCCTCTAGTCAAGCGTCTCGCCCCCACCACCCACACCCCTCCTATCACCCTTCTTCTCTCCCCTCAAACACGCTCCCCTCATCCTAATCCTCACGCGTGGGCGTGGGAGTAGGCGTGTCTGACGGTGTAATCTCTGGACGCAGTGTCAGCAGCCGGCAGCCAGAGGACGTAAGCATGACCGAAGGACATGGAAAGGCCACCGCCGCTACTACTACCACCACTACTACTACCGCCACCACCATTACTACTACCACCACTACTACTACTACTACTACTACTACTACTACTACTTTTTTTTTTTAACGTGGCCTCCAGCCTCCCCCAATAGCCACACCTTCGCCACCATTTATTTACCTTAATATTAAATATCCTAATACATAAGAAACTATCCTATCTGTGTTAAATTAGTTGAGCCGCAGATCCATGCGGCATTCAGTGACTGTAGCCTCATAGTTGATATCTGCAGCAGTTGTCGGAGTAGGGGCAGAAGCTCTCGTTCCCCTGAGGCAGAGCAAAGCCGATCGAAGGAGAGAGAAGGACAGTCGACATCTCATCCAGGCTGTGACATAACTTCTGGGCTGCTGCTTCTGTTCGGAGATCAGCTCCGCGAGTCTGGCGTAGAAACATCTTGCACTTGGGCCCATCCCACCCGAGGTTGTGAACACTAGAGGAGTGAAGCTGCCTTGATCAACATTTTGTATTCTCTCCCCATATGCCCTTCTCTTGTCGTTCTCGTTCCTCCTATGCGCAGCATCGAGAGCTAGGTTACGGTGACAAACGGCCATGGGATCAAAAATCCTGATGTCGAAGAAAGCTCGCTGTCCCCGCGTCCAGAATCCTCGAGCACTGACGTCCACACGGGCTTCGTTAGAAGTGTTTGAAGTCCTATGTTGGAAGATCTCGCCATCCAGTGGAAGGAGGGTCGGTTCTACCATGACGTCCCGGCAGATTTCCTTCAACATATTTGCTGTGAGATCCCTTACCTCGTCATGCCTCATGCATATGAAGCCCCCCTTCTTGCAAACCATGGCGTGATCGCCATCATAGGAATAGCCACACACGCATTGGGAGGGCAAACCATCTACTGGCCAACCGTACCTTAGAGCAATGGCATCTGTAAATTCTTGTTTGTTAAGGCTGAAACCATTTGCCCTTATCGGTAACGTAGTTAGCCAGTTCGAGGCGCCCACCTCCTGCGCTATAGCTACTTTTTTTGTCAAATTTTCTGGAACCAGCAGCAAAAGTTGCTGCAACATGTCATTTTGGCAGTGCTGCCGATCTGTTGTAATGGACCACCACCACCACTACTACCACTACTACTACCACCGCCACCACTACCACCGCCACCAATACCACCACCGCCACCACCACTACTACCACCGCTACCACCATCACTACTGCCACCACCACTACTACCACCGCCACCACTACCACCACCGCCACTACTACTACCACCACTACTACCATCGCCACCACTACTACTAATACCACCTCCTCCTCCTCCTCTTCCTCTCGCCACATACCGAGCTCATACGCTGTTGTTGTATTTCTAGGTCATTGTGTAAAGACAGCTAAAATATAATTGGCTTAAAAAAATCAAGCAAAGAAAAAAAAAAAAAACGTCCATAAGTCAGGTCAGGAAAGGCGTATGTTGGCAGAACAATGCACGACTAAAATATAATTTGTAAGAGAATTGAATTTTATGAAGAAATGTTTTAGGGGGAAATGTTTGTTGTGTTTATATTCTCGCCCCTCACTTTCCTCCCCCCTTCTTTCTCCCAACCTTTCCTCCCCTTCCCCCTTTCTCCCAACCATTCCTCCCCTTCCCCCTTTCTCCCAACCACTCCTCCCCTCCCCCCTTCTTTTAACCACGCCTCCCCTTCTCTCAACCATTCCTCCCCCCTCTCCTTTCTCTCAACCATTCCTCCCTTCCCCTTTCCCCAACCCTCCTCCTTCCTGAGCTTCAGCCTCTCCACCCCCCCCCCCTTGAGTGTAAGCTTACAGTCCCTCAACTGGCTGTATCGAATCCTATTATTTACAGCAAGAACTCCCTCACCCTCCTCACCCCATTTCCCTAATCCCCTCCTCTCCCCCCTCCCCTCACCTCCTCCCCTCAAACTCTGTCAAGAAATAACCTCTATTTAGAAAAGGAGATTTGTTCCCCCAAATAAATTTTTATTTTTATGTATTTTTTATTTTTTTTTCAGGCACGCAAAAGTACTGCTGTAGGATGTTGGTTTTTGTCCTTTTTTCTGGTGCCCAAAAAAGCATATATATATATATATTTTTTT